CCAAAAATAATAAAATACCTAGGAATAAACTTAACCAGAGGTGAAAGAACCGTACTCTGACAAGTATAAAACACTGATGAAAGAAACTGAAATTAGTGAAAGACATCCCATAGTCCTGGATTGAAAGAACAAATACTGTTAAAATGTCTATACTCCCCAAAGCAATCTACAGATTTAGATTCCCTATCAAAATACCAACTGCATTTTTCACAGAACTAGAACAAACAATCCTAAAATTTGTATGGAACCACAAAAGACCCTGAAAAGCCAAAGCGATCCTGAAATAGGAAAAAAAATTCCAGACTTCCAAGTTGTTTTACAAAGCTGCAGTAATCAAACCGTATGGTACTGGCACAAAAACACACAGATCAAAGGAATAGAACAGAAAACCCAAAAGTAAACTCACAATTATTTTGTCAGTTAATCTTCAACAAAAGAGGGAAGAATATGCAATGGGAAAAAGACAGTCTCTTCAATAAAATGTGTTGAGAAAACTGGACAGCAACATGCAAAACAATGAAACTGGACCACTTTCTTATACCATATACAAAAATAAATTCAAAGTGGATTAAAGAACTAAATGTGAGAAGTGAAACTATAAAAATCCTAGAAGAGAGTATAGGCAGTAATGTTTCTGACATCAGTTGTAGGAACATTCTTCTAGATCTGTCTCCTGAGGCAAGGGAAATAAAAGCAAATATAAACTACTGGAACTACAACAAAATAAAAAGCTTTTGCACAGTGAAGGAAATAATCAACAAAACTAAAGAGCAACCTACTGGGTGGGACAAGATATTTGCAAATGACATATATGACAAAGGGCTAATATCTAAAATATATAAATAACTTATATAACCCAACACCCAAAAACAATCCAATTAAAAAATGGGCAGAGGACATTAACAGACATTTCTCCAAAGACAACACACAGATGGTTAACAGACACATGAAAAGATGCTCAACATCACTTATCATCAGCAAAATGCAAAGAAAACTATCAGGAATGCAAAGAAAACCACAATGAAATATCACCTCACACCTGTCAGAATAGCTAAAATCAAAAACCAAGAAATATCAAGTGTTGGTGAGGATGTGGAGAAAAAGAAACCCTGTGCACTGTTTGTGGGAATGCAAACTGGTGCAACTACTATGGAGAACAGTATGGAGGTTCCTCAAAAAAGTAAAAACAGAACTACTCTATGATCTGGTAATCACACTACCAGGTATTTACCCATAAAATACAAAAACACTAATTCAAAGGGATTCATGCACCTCTATGTTTCTTGCAGCATTATTTACAATAGCCAAATTATGGAAGCACCCCAAATGTCTATGGATAGATGAATGGATAAAGAAGATGTGGTACATAAATATAACGGGATATTACTCAACCGTGAAAAATGAAATCATGCCATTTCCTACAACATGGATGAAGCTAGAGAGTATATGTTAAGCAGAATAAGACAGAGAAGGACAAATACCATACGGTATCACTCATGTGGAATTTAAGAAACAAAACAATGGAGACTATGGAGAACAAACTGATGGTTACCAGAGGGGAGGTGGGATGGGGAGACGGGTGAAATAAGTGATAGGGATTAAAGAGTACACTTATCCTGATGAGCACTGAGAAATGAATAGAATTGTTGGATCACTATACTGTGTACCCGAAACTAATAATAACACTGTATGTTAACTATACTTGAATTTAAGTAAAAAACTTAATAAAAAAAAGAAATTAGAAAAAGAAAAGCAAATTAAAAGGTTTTTTTGTTGTTGTTTTAATGTTTATTTATTTTTGAGAGAGACAGAGACAGAATACAAGTGGGTTGGGGCAGAAAGAGAGGGAGCAATCCCTCTCTTTGTTCCAAATGGAGCAATCCGAAGCAGGCTCCATACAGAATCTGAAGCAGGCTCCAGGCTCCAAGCTGTCAGCACAGAGCCCAACACGGGGCTCGAACTCACGAGCTGTGAGATCATGACCTAAGCCGAATTCAAACGTCCAACCAACTGAGCCACCCAGGTGCCCCAAGAAAAGCAAATTAATATCAAAGTAAGCAGAAGAAAAATCCCAAAAAGAAATCACTGAGGTACAAAACAGAAAAAATAATATGGAAAATCAATTAAACTAAAAGCTGATTCTTTCAAAATTAAATAAAATCGATAAACTTCTAGCCAGAATGAACAGGGAAATAGAGAAGACAGAAAAATTATCAATAACAGAAATGGGTGAAGGAACATCATTTCAGATTCTACAGACATAAGAAAGGGTATTCAGGGGTGCTTGGGTGGCTCAATGGATTAGGCGTCTGACTTCAACTCAGGTCATGATCTTCCGGTTTGTGAGTTGAGCCCCGAGTTAGGCTCTGTGCTGATAGCTCAGAGCCTGGAGCCTGCTTCGGATTCTGTGTTTCCCTCTCTTTCTCTCTGCCCCTCCCCCACTCACACTCTGTCTCTCTCTCAAAAATAAACATTAAAAAATTTTTAAATAAAAAAAAAGGCATTCAGGGAAAATTACAAACAATTTTATGCAACTAAATTAAATCACTAAGTTACAAACATACTCTCCAAAAGAGACAAACTATTGAAGCTCAATCAAAAAGAAATGCAGTTGACCCTTAAGAAATGTAGGTTAGGGGCACTAACCTTCTGCACAGGCAAAGTTCTGTGTATAGGGGTGCCTGGGTGCCTCAGTCGGTTGAGAGTCCGACTTCAGCTCATGTCATGATCTCATGGTTTGTGAGTCCAAGCCCCGCATCAGGCTCTGTGCTGACAGCTCAGAGCCTGGAGCCTGCTTCTGATTCTGTGTCTCCCTCTCTCTCTCTGCCCCTCCCCCACTCATGCTCTGTCTCTCCCCGTCTCAGAAATAAATAAACATTAAAAATATATTTTTTTTAAATCTGTGTATAACTCTGGCTCAAAAAAACTTCAAGTAATAATAGCCTACTCTTAATTGGAAGCTTTACCAATAATGTTTTGTATGTTTAATGTATTATATGCTGTATTCTCAAAATGAAGTGAGGTACAGAAAATGTTATTAAGAAAATAAGGAAAATACATTTATGGTACTGTACTGTATTTGATACTGTAAATTATCATCAGCTGTTTACAAGATGAATCATCTGTCAGTATCTATATCAATATTGTCTATCATGATACAAAACACTGTAGATGTTATATGTATTACCAACACTATACATTAAAAATGAAAAAATGTAAAAAAGAATCCATATTTATTTATAGTTTTAACAATCCATGTACTGAAAACAAAGCAGCAGCAATAGGATTGTTTTGGTAGCCTAGGGTAACTGATTCAATCAGTTCTTCTTGGTAGCCTAGCTTATACACTAATGAATAAATCTTTACAAAATTTTTATGGCATACATACTACAGTCATGCACCTACACAGTAATGGAAACATTGTTACATTTTCTAAAAAAAACACTTACTGGTAATGAGAAGCTGATAAACAGTTTCTCCAATGATGAGAGAGGGGGGCATACTATACAAGTAATGCAATTCTTTGAAAGCAAAAACATATACAACAGTCAGAAAACACATTAATTTTACATTAAATATTCACTTCGTGCCTATGTAAGGATAGGCTATCCACTTCTATGAGTCTTGCAGATGATGTTCTACACAATGAGTACAATGAATACGAGACAAATGATAATGACAATGACACAAAAATGTCTCATACAGTTCTTGCTGTACAGTTACTCATTTTTCATATGAAGACACTCATATACAGCAAATCAATTTATTAACTATACAGGATGGTGATCATGTACTAGTCATTAAGTGGAAGCAGATCATAAGGGTCTTCATCATTGTCATCTTCACAATGAATATGAAGAAGGAGGAGGAGGAGGAAGAGGGGTGGTCTTGCTGTCTTAGGGTAGCAGAGGTGGAGGAGGGGAAAGAGCAGGCAAGAGATAAAACCACACTCAGTGTAACTTTATGGAAATACATCATGATTTGTCTGACTTTTTTGCTTTTTCATTTCTCTAAATATGTCTTTACATGGTACCAATCCTTCCACAATTTCCTTTAGCTTCAGTGCCCATATCATAGAAGGGTCCATTTCGTAAGTAAAAGAAGTCAAAAGCAGTCTTGAATAATCAGAACCTTTCTGCTCGATTGTCTAAGGTCAAATTTATTTTCTGTATGTGCTTCTTCTACATCTTCTTCCACATCAATCTGGCACTGTTCTGGAAGCACTCTCCTCCATTAAGTCATTTTCTGTTAATTCCTCTTGTGTGGTATCTATTAGCTCCTGAATTTCTCCAAAATCTGTACCTTGAAACCTATTACATCCCCCATCCTGTCCTTTTCAACCATTATCTAAAATCACATTTTTTAAAAAATATTTATTTTGAGAGAGAGAGAGTGTGCGTGCATACATGAGTTCGGAAAGGGGCAGAGAGAGAAAGAATCCCAAGCAGGCTCCGTGCTATCAGCAGAGTCCCACGTGGGGCTTGATCTCACAGACTATGAGATCATGACCCGAGCCGAAATCAAGAGTCAGACACTTAACCAACTGAGCCACCCAGGCGCCCCTCTTTTTTTTTTTTTTTAATTTTTATTTGTTTTTGAGAGGGAGACAGAGCGTGAGCAGGGGAGGGGCAGAGAGAGAGATGGAGACACAGAATCCGAAGCAGGTTCCAGGCTCTGAGCTGTCAGCACAGAGCCTGACGCCGGGCTCTAACTCACAGACCCCGAGATCATGTGAAGCTGGACTGATTGAACCACCCAAGCATACCCAAAATCATTCTAAGTCATATTACCTAAACCTAAAGGAACTGAGATTTAAATATTAATCAAGCTTTCAGACTACAGAAAAGAAAAATCAGACAAAACGCTAATTTTACCTTCAGAGGACTCTTGGGATATTTATAAAACTCTGCATAGGTCTAATGGTATTTTCAAATAGAGTATTCCATCACTTTAGAACAACAAATGAGGAAAATAAGTTTCAGTTTCCGTAAGGTTCTCACCTGTATAATGCATCATCAATCTCCACAGATTCTGCTGACATGATGGGCAAATTTGTATTGGTACTGAAAAAATAAAACACAACTTATAAGAGCAAGTTTCGGTATTTAATATTCACGCTCTGTAATCTAATATTCAATTATACATGGCAGTTACTAAAGAGGATTTTACAAACCAGATATATATTTTCCACTCCTTTATTTCCATTTAAAAAATAGGTGAAAATTAAATTCACTGAATGTCTATTCTGTGTGTATTGTAAAATTAAAGCCTATAGTTTTAATTCTCAGGTGTTATCAGATATTGTTTTACATATATTCTGATGAATCCGTATTTTCCGAAGTTTGTTGGGAGTGCCCCATATACCTTCTCTAATAAACACACTCTGTCTAGATAATCTTGTTCAATCCATATATGGAATTTACCAGATACTGAGGATATCTAAACTTATTTTTCCACGTTTGACATCTTTTCTGGCATCCAAATTGTCCACACCTGCTAGAACAATCTCTCTCTTCTGATGTTTAATCGGTTTCATGAACGTAATAAGCCTCAAACAGAATTCAATTTCCCTGTTTAATCTATTCCTCCCCAATCTCTGCCAACTCAATTTCTGGTATCACCATTTACTCATTTGCGCAGGCCCAGACTCTAGAGATCTTAACTTGTTCCCTCATTTCTCCATCTGCATGCTGGTACAATCTCAGGCCAAGCCATCATCGTATTTCATCTGAACTACTTCAAAAGCCTCCTAACTAGTCTCTCTAGTGCTACCATTGCCCTCCCCCTTCAGTTTATTCTCCATATAACAACCTAAATTTTTTAGAATGTAGTCAGACGTTACTCCTTGACTTAGAACTATTCTTAAGTAACTCTACTTTCTAAATAAAATTGAAACACATTACCATGGGCAAAAGGGTCTAGGTGTTCTGTCTCCCAATCATCTCTTCAATTACAACTCCCACTACTTTCCCACACTGGTCAACTTGCTATTCCTCCAAAGAGTCAAGCATGTTTTTATACTTCAGTGAAACTAAAAGTCACTAAAAAGTCACTTCAGTTTTTATACTTTTTTCCTCTGCTTGGAATGTTCCCCCTTTAGATCTCTGAATGGCTGACTCTTATCACGTAAGCCTCAACTAAAATATTGCCTCGCAAATATTACATAGACCAGTCCTGATCATCCTTTCAATGAAATGCCTCCCCTTCTCCTTAGGTCACTCCCTAACTCACTAACCTGCTGTATGTTCTTCAAATTACTAATTGTTTACTGTCTGCCTTCCCCAAGAGAATGTATGATCTGTTAAGAATTCACTAATGTATTCCAAATACCTAAAACTGTACCTGGCATTTAATAATAATTTAAGAGCACTGTGTCACACATGGTTTTAAGTGCTTTAGATGTACTCAGTTAACCCTTACAACAACTTTATAAGATAGGCACTATTACCATCTCCGTTGAACAGAGGAAAAAAAACTGAGGCTCACAGAAGTTTATTTAAATAACCCATCTGAGGTTCCAGAGCAGGTATATGGCAGAGCCAGAACCTGAACCTACGCAGTCTAGCTCTTGACCACCATGCTATACTGCCTACTGCATCTCAAAGTACGCACAAAGAAAGCACCCAAAATGTATCTGTTGAATGAATTTTAAAAATTAAAAAAAAAAAAGGGGGGTGCCTGCTTGGCTCAGTTGGTAGAGCATGCAACTCTTGATCTCAGGGTTGTGAGACCAGGCCCCACATTGGGTACAGACATTACTTAAGGAAATTAAAACACATTTTTTAAAACAAGCATACTAGCATGATAAGATATACTTATGCATCATTTACCACAGCTCATCCCAACTTTTTCACAGCATGGCATACAAAGAAAAATGAAAACAGGATGAACCCTGGGAAACAGGAATGGCTCCCAAGCAAAGGAAACCAGCCTGGGGCATTATGGCCTGAGCCACAGTGACAGCTAAGATCAATTATCATCTTGGCAAAAAGTAAATCCTTTCCAGGTTCTGGGAAACTCTATCAATTACAGGATTCTAAAAATCATGTGAAAACACAAAATTGAGGTTTTGGAATCCAAATTTCTAAGCCTGGTACTGATATACAGGCCAAAGGATTTGTATATAAAGTTAATCAAAATGTTATCATTTATCTTACCAAACACTGATTGGTATTATCAAAAGATACCAGCTCTAACTAAGTTATACATGGATAACTATTAGAAATATTCCTAATTGCAATTATGAACACAAACCAGGAGACAGCTGTGTTTAAGAGATCACCTACCTAATAAAAACACACACATACAAAATATGTTCTTTTGGCAGAGTGATAAAATATGAAAATAAACAAAATTTCTCATTTCACAGTTTTCTTATCCCTAGCTGCCTTCCCTGCATGGAGGACAATGGTCTAGTGGGTAGAGCTCTTAAGTAAACATGAACTCCTTTCTAACCAGCTTTGTCACTTAATGATATATGACTAGCACTGATTTTTCAGAAAATTCTGCTTTACTGGTATGTTTCAAAAATCATTTTTGTAATAAGATCTATATGGCAATCAAAAAGCCTTTTAAATAAGGGGAGATTTTGTTTGTATTACATAATTTCCCTCAAGTAAATGTGGCAATGCTGGCAACTGCAGGTAGTATGGTACCGAAAACATCCCTTCAATCTGAACCGGCGAAAAAGCTACAGGTTTATGGTCAGGCTCCCATTAGCTCAAAATCATATATCCATCACTTCTCTCTTTGGAATACTGTATTCTGGTGGAGGGCAGTATATAACTAACGGTTTTATTAATTACGAGGTAACTGAAACAGGAACCATACGAACATTTCCCACAATTTTGCAGGAATGTTAGAGACGTGAAACAAACAAACACCAACTAGGGAATAAGTAACTCGTACGTTTTTCCCTGGATTTTTTTTTTTTTTTTTTAACTGTGGTGAACACAGGACTCCGGGTGTCCTGACTGGCACTGATTCATCATTACCAAGTTCCCTCTGGTAACAGTTTTCAAAGGAGGATCTCAGTGCGGGATCGCCCACAGTGGCGCTCTTAGCTTTCATTTCACCGAAAGGTGGGGGAAACGTGTTTGGCAGCAGGGCTGTGAAAGCTCACACCAAGCGACCCGGGCCAGAACTCTCGGCGGGGCCCTCTCCACTCCACTCCACCCCCGCCCGACGTCCGGTGCATGGGAGAATGGCAGACCCCGACTGGAACTGAGGGGCGAAAGGACCGAGAGTTGGCCTTTCTCCTCAGAGAAGCCGAGAGCCGCCGAGGTCTAAACCCAAGGCGCCACACCCACCCAGCGCGCTCCCCTCGTCTCCCAGGGCCGGTTCTGCCCGGCTCCGCGGCCTCGCGCGCGCTCCCTGGCCGCCCGAGCGGGAGCAGCAGAAAGCCGGCGCCCGGGTCCCGCCTGCCACCCCTCGATGCTTCGCGCTCACACTCATCTTCTTACCTGCCGGCCACCCAGGAAGAGCAGGACGCCTCTTCCTCCCGAGCTGCGACTACCGGCTCGGATGCCTCCATCTCCTCCAAGAGTCGCCGCCGCCGCTGGCTACGGGTAGGCAGGGAAGGGGGCGGGACCGCGAGGTCAAGGGGCGGACGGTGACATCACCGGAGGGGGCGGGGCCGGAGAGCGTGCCGCCGAGCTGAGCCTTCCCGTCAACCCCAGGGACGTCCTGGTTTCCGGTTTGGGTGTGGCCGCCAGGAAGAGGATAGGCCTTGCCGCAGGTGGGTGTAGTGAAAGGCTCCGCTGCGACTGAGGATTCTGCAGTTCCAAATGAGCTGAAACACTGAAGTTATGAGGTAACCTTGGCTCTGTAGCAAGGCACAGAGATAACAGTGGCTAGCGAAGTGATAGCTTTAAAAGATTGAAAGTTTGTAGTAAGTAGTTCCAGATTTTCAGGATTTCTGGAATTCCATTTTAAGACATTATACTTTTAACAAATAATTTTGAGCTTCTGCTACAAGCCAGGCACGTTAACTGATTTAATGGAGTCGTGATTTTAAGAGCAATGAATGACATGGTCATCCAGTTTGCCTCCGCTTTATGAGTGAGGAAAAGGAAATTGCAGACGGCATGAGTGACTTGGTCAAGGTCACAGACTGTCAAGATAAAGTACTAGAACACATGTCTAAGTACTTCTAATCCTTTTTCATTTGGTTCCCCTTTCACCTTTCTTAGAAAACAAAAATTAGTAGGACTCAGCATTAGGTAGGATTTGTCTTTCATTGTAAATAAACGGAATATTTGAAGAAGTAGCTAGAGGATTTTAAAAGTTAACATATACTTTGACTTTATATCATTTTCTGTGATGTATGATACTTTTACTTAATTAGAATTTCTTCCTCTCTAGTGTGGACAGAGGATTCAGGCAAAACTGCATTATCCTTTGTGCCTCTTTAGTCTCATTTCAAAATTTAACATTTCCAAATACCTGGAACTTCATACTACTGACCTATGGCATCATTCAAGTTTCTTAATCCAGTTGTGTACCTTTTCTACACAATCATTAAAAGGAACTTGGTCTACCTCTCATTCTTTCAAGGTTCTACTCTAGTAACTAAGTTTAGTAGTATGTTTATGGTAAATTGTTATACAGAAAAAGAAAATGAATAGCCTGAATTTCATCTGCAATCCACATTTCTTTACATTTTAATATCCCTTAAGTTGGAATGTTGGAAGTCAAATAGCTATGTCCTGGTTAAGGAGATTATAGGGAATGCATTACACTGCTTTCTGGCTCTCCTGAAAACAATGGGCTAGTATCTAGTTAATGTGTATTTAGGGGTTGGGTCCTGCCTGTGCTCAAGAATTCCTTAGACAATGTTAGCTATGGAATATCTTGTCTTGTTCTCCACCTGTTTTCAGCATCTGCTCTTCTGTAGTCTTGGGAATGCCTTGTGGTTTTTGTTTTTGTTTTTGTTTTGCATGCTTTCTATATGTTCTAACTGGCAGGTAGCCACTGACATATTGCACAATGTTTTCTTTATAATGTATGCCTAATAAATACAGGAGCTTGAGAGCAGCTTGGGGAGTCTTTCCTTAGCCTCCCTCTCACCTCTCTTGAATTGCTTGGCGTCTTGAGTAAACGTTTCTGCCACCCTTGGCATTGCTGGACAAAGCCAAAAGCTGAACCCATAGTGGAATGTAATTTTTCCTTTTTCATCAATACAGAAAATAATGGTAAATTTGAGATTATCTTAGATATGGTGAAATACAGTGTGAATTGTTTCAAATATATAGCAAATACCCCTATTTAACAGAATTTAATATATTGTTACATTTGCAAAATAGGAGAAAACTGGAAAATCACTAGACTTTTGACATTGAAACTTTTTTGCCAAAAGTAAAGTGGAACAATATATTTAGGATGCTCAAGGGTAAAATATGGACTAAAGATGTTATATCCAGCAAAAGCAAGTCTCACGTACAAAGTGTATAAACTAATATCAACACTTGATATTGTATCAATATTTGATGAGACTATCGTTGTCATGAACGCTTCCTGAAGAATTACTAGAGAATGAGCATCAGACAACCAAAATGAGTAGGGAAACATCAACCTAAGGATTGGCTCACGTTCTTCACAGGAAATCATAATCTGTTATATGCCTTAGCTTTTGTGTTCCTTCTAGTTTATTCTTTTTTTTCTTTTATAATGTTGATACAATATTACTGACTATACTCATTATGCTGTACTGTTCATCTCTGTGACATATTTATTTTATAACTGGAAGTTTGTACCTCTTAATTCCCTTCACCCATTCTATGCATCCCACTTACCCCACTTCCTGTTTTTTCTTTATTATTAATTCTCCTGAGGTCTGGCACCCCATTTGTGAGTTTTTCTCCATTTTTGTTGAGGTAATTGACAAAACTGTAAGATACTTAAAGTGTACAATGTGATGATTTTATATTAATAAAAATTGTGAACGGATGCCTGCCATGGAGTTGAGTTTTTCTAATTCTGAATCATATTGTTCTTTCCTACTTTGTATCTTTTTTGTTTAGTTAGCTTAAAAATAGTAACTTACAGGGGCACCTACAGGTCATGATCTCAAGGTCACAATCCCAGGGTTGTGAGATGGAGCCCCATAGGGGCTCTGTGCTGGGCATGGAACCTGCTTGGGTATTCTCCCTCTCCCTCACCTCCCCCTCAAAAAAATTAAAAATAGTAACTTACAAGTTCTGATCTATTTTTGTGGTACATCTTTCAGATATGTTTTCATTATATATAATGATGATGTTATGCTCCTTATTCTCTTTTTAAATAATAGTTTTATATAGTATTTGAACTTGATACTTTTTTGTTGTTGATTTTTATGTGAAATTATTATCCTGAACTTTTAGTATGAGGCAGGCTTCCTCGTCCAAGAAGCCTAAATCCATCAGTAAAAAAAAAAAAAACCCTGTATTTCAAGAAAGTCAGTTTTTTGGTTCATTGCAAGGAAGGAGTCCACATTCCAGAACTATGGGATGCCTCACCAAACAAAGGAGAATATATATTTATTATAGGAATTTGGGGAAGTGTGGAGTTTAGGAGAAATTAAAGAAGTATTTTGTAGGCTCAAAAGAAAGTGAGGCTGTTTGTAAAGGTGTCTAAATTAGGTCTGGACTCCATCATAGATTCCAGGTTCTATTTTCTTGAAAATTGCAGCTAACATAGATGTGTCATGTATCCACATAACTGTTTTCTGAAGTTCTGTCCTAGGGTTGAAAGTAGAGCATGCTTCTCTGTTAAGTGATTTAGATCATCACCAAGAGTAGGATATTTTAATCTTAATGAATTGATTTCAAAGAACAAGGTTTTTGACACTCTGATTTTAGAGAAAAGGATTCTTTGTGAGTAAAAAATGTGGCATTAACTAAAGTTGGAAATTTTTGTGACACTTTGCAGCATGTTTTTGAGAAAAGTATTATCTTCTGTTAATTTTACAGCTTACTTTATTTGTGTCTATTATCTATATCTGATGAATAGCAAGGCAGATTTTTACTTTCTTAGTCCAAGTTTATCTTTTCTTTCTCACAGCTTTCAGTAAAACTTTTCTAACTTCAAAGAGCTCTCTTTTCTGTGAAATGTTAAAAAAAAATATGGTGGTTTCAGTTCTGTGATTTCCTGGCTCACTTCCCTTCTCAACTTTGATCTATCAAAGACCCACTGTCTCTTTCCTTTATTTCTGTTGTTCATGTGGCACATATATATTATGTATGAATGCATAGTTATATTCCAAAGGTGTAGCACAATAATTTTATTTTAAATATTTATTTTGGTGTAATATTAGAAATTTAAAATTAGAAAAGTTGCAAAGGTAAGACAGAGAATTTTTGTGTACACTTTACTCAGCTTCCCCTAAAGATAACATCCTCCATAACCGTGATACATTTGTCAAAGAAATTAATATTGGTACAATACTATTATATAACTATATATTTTGATTTCACCAGTTTTTCACAAATGTCACTTTTTTTCAGTTCTGGATCCAATCCATGATACAACAATGCGTTTAAAAGCTCCCCATCTTGATCATTATATAGGTGTACATTGTAATGAATATCTTCCTGAAAACTTAATGCCAATTGGCTTTCTGTAAATCAAATAGTTCACATCATAAATGGTAAAGATAACATCTATGTTGTGTTTTATAATTACAGAGCTTATTTACATGCACTTTTTCACCTTATGGTCCTAAGTTATTGAATATTAGCAAAGGAAAGATACTTAATAGTCATATACATGCACAGCCTTATAGTTTTTCCAAGGATGACTCAAAATGGTTAAATGTCTTGAATCAATTCACATCATTGGAGGTGAAGGGTCAAGACTAGAACCTAATTTTATTTCTCATTTAGTATTTTCCTAATATATTATGCCAAGATTCCCAAAATTGGAACAGTTGTTTCATGATTATCAGAAAGAATAGGAAGTACTCAGTCCCTGGATCAGGTCTCCATGAACATAGATGGAAAGCAGCCAACCTCCTGAATTCTGAGGCAAGCTTCTTTGCCCAAAGGTGTTGCAGTAACATTTGAACTGGCTCAAAGGTAACTATACAGAAGAACCCAGAGGAATTCCTTTGTGAAGGAAATAAGCCTTTTCAAGATGTGAATAATTCTCTTAAATGCTCTATGAGTTAGGATATGTGCATATCATGTTTTCCTGAAATATTTCAAAAATACTGCCTACAGAGCAGTAGACAAATCATAGATTAACAGCTGAAATATAATTTTGCAAGACTCTTTTCTTGTTTGATTTAACTACTTATGCAATAGTGACTGGAAATAAAATGTAATAAGTGATGATCCTAAGTTTAACCTTCTGCTATTATTGATAGAAAACAGATGACAAACCTAAAAATCCCTAAGTGGGTCTCCACATCCTTGTGGCTTTCTAGACAATATACTGTAAACACATCAGGTTCCGTCCAAATTGGAGGATAAAGGCACCTCCATAAAAAGCCCTTTTGTGAAAGAAGACATTCAGAGCCCTATTCCAGAGATCCAAATTCAACCACAGTCACTGTTC